TCACAGCAAGAAGCTCAGCACCTTTTATCCACAAAGTGGGATGTGCTGCACCAGCTCTCCAGGTCCCATGCACCCAGCAGGAACCTCAGCAACGTGGCCTCAGCCCTGCTCATTAACAGTGAAGTTATTGACTTCCAAAAGGTAAAAAGCAGGCACAATAGTTTATACTTTGTTGGCTATATAGTTCTTTCTCTCAAGCAGCTCCAGCCAGGTCTTTAATGCTTATATTCTGGGAAAGAAGTGTCCTGCTCCTTTAACACACCACCCCTTCAAATTGACAAGAGTCTGTGATTTGGAGACAGTTTTCTGCCCATGCTGCATTTCCCAGAGGTCAAAATCAACACCATCCTTCAGTGGGTGCAGGGAAATAGAGCACAAGTTAGCTCCCAGATCATTCTGACTAGAAAACAACCTTTTCACAGGGAGTTAAAAGTTAACTGAGGAACTGGTCTGCTCTGAGTAGAGATGACAGCAATGGGGCATTGCTCCTCCCTTGCTGACAGGCAGCACACACCATCTCAGAGGACTCAACTCCCCAAACAACACCAGTTCCTTAGCTTGCTGACCCCCTTCCCAGAACATCAAAAGGTGCCTGAGATCTCCTGGATATTACACTCCTGTTTAAGTTGCCCATGACTCCTGGCTGGTAGGGTGTGTAAAGTCTTCATAGCAGATGTAAGCAAGAAAGTGCTGTTTCTTTTTGCTCTGCTTCCCATTTGCTTGTTGTCAGGTGACATGCACCAAACCACACATTTGAGCTATAGAACCTCCTTTAAAAATAAAAAGATAATTAAATTATAGCACTGATTCTCTACAGCCCAATGTGCCCTATCACACAGACCTCTCTCTAATTCCTGATGCTACTCATCATGCCAATTATTCCTATTTGTGTTTAATGTATGCATGGTTTTATTCTGAATTATCACATCTTTGGGTGTTGCATCTACTCTTTTCTTTTTGAATGTCAACATAAATCCTATGCTAAAAAACATGCAGTGGACAGAGAGAACTCCAAAGACAACAATGACCTGACTAAGATGAGGAGGTGACACCTCAACAGAAAAACACAACTGAGAAACACCACCAGGCAACCTTGTTTATGTGACACAAGGACAAGCAAAAAAAATTGCTTATAGGAGGAAACAGAGGGTCAAGTAAGTTACTCCTTGCAACTCTTATCAGACAATTAAGAGAGGCATGGCATCATATTCCTGGAAACACAGGCTGAAGTCCACCTAACTAGGACATTTGACTGGGCTATACGACCTTTTCTGGACTTGATTCCTCTGTTACTTGTGATCATGAACTTTCTGACTGACTGAAAGTAGGGAGACCTGTGGAAAGAAATGGAAGGAAAGCCTGTGGACATGAAAAGCTAAGGTTTGTCTGAAATCTTGCTTAAAAAAAAGCAAAAAAGAAAGCTTAAGAGTCATGCATAGCAGGGGTTTTTTAGTTCACAAAACCTCTAGTGCTGTTCAGAACCTACTCTTTAAGGTACCAACTCTCTTTGTATTTTTAAAGTTAAAAAAATAAATGACAGTATCTTTCTTTAAACTGGGTAGCACTGAATGCAGTTTTAAATAAAATGGCAATAATAACAAAAAATCCCACAGACATTTTTTTATTAGATGTCATTCAATCAGATCCCTGGAGAAAAATATTCATTCTTTTGACCACTCCAGCAGCCCAGGAATCATCATGGTGCTTAAGTGAACTGGAGAAAAATCTCCTTGGCAAGTTTCCAAACAGAGCTGAAGTGATCTTGGGTCAGTAACAACTACATGTCACTGCAACAAGTGTGAGAAGTAACTGCTGGCTTAGCCCCAGCATCTGGAAACACGAGGACAGGTTTAGAGCTCCCACGAGCCTCTCAAACAAAGCTGTGCCACGAGTAAGCTCAAGCCCTAGCACAGGACTGGCAGGGTCTGAGCTACAGGAATGCTAAAATAATTTTTAAAACATACATCTATCAGGCATTTCCTTCCCAAACCATGTCACAGTTCTGTATTACAAGTGCAAAAAGCACAGAGAACTTTGACATGAGCAACCTGTCAGCCTAGAGTGCACCAAATATGACATAATATTCGTCCCATATGTACCTAAGGTTTTGAAAAACAAACACCTCTCTTCTTTAAAGCTTCATGAGACACATAAAGAGCCATAAATTCTTCTCATGCAGTTGCCTTTAAATGGTGGGGCTTTTTTTGTGTGTCAAAACCAGTGGAAATGCTTTGAATTGCATCCCCATTTCTAATGCCCCAAATGGATTTTCAAAGCATCTGAACTGTCCCACCAGGAGCCTGACACATGCAGAAGATCTCTGGCCACAGACCACTGGCTTCCCCACCAGATAGTTTTCCTCTGAGAAATACAGAGTTAATGGTAAGAAATAACATGGTTCTTCTGCTTCTTCCTCTTATTTCTGCATGTCATACAAAAACCAAGAGCACAAATGATATCATGTTTCTCCTCTAGGAGGGCAAATGCAATTATATTGGAATTATCCCAGAGAAAAAACCTGAACCACGAGAACGACGTGTTTCACAACAGGACTGCAAAGCCAACCTCTTCTCCAGATACCATCAATCAGATCTGAGAGACAAGTAGGCAGAGCAACTGGGAGCAGTGGAAACTTGAGGCAGGAAAATGAATCCACATTTATGCAGGATCTGTTAAAACACCTGCCAAATGACTTTGCTGACAACTTCGCTGTTAAGCTTTTGAGGTAACAGGTATAAAATGAGGTAACAGGTATAAAATGCAGATATCAAAGGTCTCTGATGAGGGACAGAGGATCAAAATCAGGCATGCCTGCTATATTCATGAAAATCAAGTCAGATGCACTCATCAGAAGTTGTGCTATCACAGGAACATGACCACAGCCTCCATCCATTTGTCAGCCCCAGGCTGCTGATGATTACATGCCAAACAGGAAGACAGCACTGATGCAGCAGGAAGAAACAAGGCAGGGGGTGTATGATAAACCATGTGTTATGTCAGTAGGAAAACAATCCTGTTCAGAATAAATAAATAAAGCAAATATGCTCCTACTAAATGCTATTTCACTTGCACACTCACCTTCAAGTAGAACAAAATACAGATGCGTTTTGCCCAACGCCTGGTGACACTAACAGCAATATCACTTTTACCCCCTTTTTGTCCATCTCACCATCAAGCTCCTCCAGGTCAATGAATGGACAGTTGGGACACGAATCCCAACGTTATTTATACTGGTGAAATTATCTTCTTCATCCTCAATATAAGCACTTCATCTCTTCTGCAGGAAGGACACTGCTTTAGCTCACCTTTTATGGCTGGACTGACTGAGATAGGGGAGGTCAAAGGGTGTGCCCCAAACTGGAAGAAAACCTACAGCTCATTTTGGATGGGAGTGTGGGAACCTGCTGGCTGCCTATGATTGCCTCTACCCATCATACTGCCCTCTCAGGGCCTGTGACTAAATTTTAACCAGTTCTTTGATAAGCTTTCATGGCAAAATGAGAGGAAAACCTTGGTAACTCTTCGTTACACCAGCCAGGAAACCTGAGCTCCCATGTCAAGCCTCCTGGGGCAAGGGGGACAACCCAAATTACTAGAGGTTGTAGCTTTCTGTCCTTGCTAACTGCTAAAAAAAAATATTCTAAATTAACATTTTGTTTCTAACTAAAGCCTTTGAGAAGCCTGTATCATTTACAGGCATTCATTAAGCTCCACATCTCTCCTGCAAGTGTAATTCATTGTGTTTTCAGAGACAGCTACTGAGCTGCTCAGAGCCAAGGAGCTTTTCCCAGTTCCTCCCTGTTGGTTAAACAAAACAGTTTCCACATGGATGGCAGAAGGCAAAGCAACCCTGCTGTCTGACCACTCAGACAATGGAGGACAGGAAGGTGTTTGGTACATACATGGGGTGTTTCTGGGCTGGGCATGTTTGAATCACTTGAAGCCAGACATGAAACCCCCTCTGCCCCAACACATCAGACCATCAGAAAAGCACAGAGGTGAAGAGTGGAAACACCAGGCCTAAGCTTGTAGAAGACAACATGATTTTAATCAACAATCTGCCTGAGTGACAACACTGCAGTGCATTTCTCAGTGTTGTCTGGGCTGTGTATCTCATGATAGAAAAGTGCAATATTTTTCTTCCAGCTCAAACCAAAAGGAAATTAAAGTTTTCTTCTTCAGTTACACCTTGAGAAACCAGTGCAGTGATTTTTTTTTTAAAAAGTAAGGTTCTCTTAACTGGGGGAAGCTGAGATAAAGGCACAGAGAAACAGTCTTCAGTAATACTGTCAAGAATCAAGCATCACAACATACTGTCATAAAATACAACAACTCAGCTACTTTTTGTCAGCTACTTTTGTTCTACAATGCATGCAAAGCACAGATCATACAGATGCCAAAGTACAAACACTAATGACCTGAGGCACATTTTACACCCAATGTCTAAAGATAAACCACAGTTTTATAGGTGGTAGGATGGTAGGAGGATAACTAAACTACTTTCCCCCCTCATTTAAGCTGCATTTCAAACCAGCTTGGCTATTTTTCTTGCAAAATCAGGATGACTTCAGAATTTAAATTTCACTCTAAAAGCAAGTAAATCATAGGGGCACTAATGGAAAAGACAGATGTGCATGCACATGTTGCCTGAAGCAACCTCAGCTTTGCTCTGCAGCCACTGTTGCAACACACAATTAAATCAGTCATAAGCAATAACCACTTACTGCTACAGATAAGGCAGGAGACACAAACACTCCCTGTTTAATCAACAAAATGTTGGCCTAGATGTGTTCATCCCATGTTTAATTCTGAGCCAGTTTCCCTAATGGAAAGATCTCTGGGTTACATGATTGGATATATTAAAAGAGAATTGATATTTGGTCTTCACACAGGCAAGCAAAGAGTGCTGTGGATTTTAAAAGGAAACAATAGCAATGCTGCCCACATCCTCCCCCAACAACAAGCCCTGGCTGGGGATTCCTGTGCAAAACCACACTTACATCCTGAGCACTTCCTTGGATTCAGAGGAATTCTCACTTTCAACTTCTTCACAGCTTGAGATCTCCAGGTTTCCATACCTGAAAAAGGAGATGGGTGAGTTAGAGGAAGCTCTGCTGAAGAAAAGCAAAAACCCAAGCAGAATAATTCATATACAATTAACATAAACAACTAAAAAGGGTTTCTAGCTCGGACTACAAATATGGAATCAAACAGCTGGGTAAAATGAGGAAGCTTGAAGATTATTAGCCTGAAGAGACAGCCAGTGCCTTCCAACTTCATGTGTTAATTTGTATGAAACAGCCTGCACACAGGAGGAATCAAAACCAAAACAGTTTCTTTGCTCACACCTCCAAGACCCTTTTTTCCTCTGCCTGTGTTCACTCCAACCTTCCCCAGGGTCCTAGCACAGTGTGCAACGAGGCTGTAGCACAACCACCTTCTCCAGCACAGCTTCTTCTTTCTCCAACACACTCCAAGTGTGATTTCACACACAGTTTTCTAGGTGGCCAGTGCCACTTGTGCCAAAACTACTGACCCAGTTGTCAGGAATGGGAACGGGCCTGTGGCTCTGGGAAAATGCCACTGGGAAAGAGGGACCCATGGGCACCACTCCAAGAGTGCAAAGGAAAATCTCTTACCTACACAGGCAGCACATGTGCCTTGCAGGCAGAATTATGCATTCCCAGTGGGAGTGTCTATTGTTTGAGATATACAGCTCAATTTCATGGATCCTTCCAGGCAGCTTTAATGAAGGCAGACAATTAAACACAGTCCAGAATGGAGCAAGCTAATTTTATGCATTCTGTGCTCAACTAATTGTGTCAGGCACCTGCAATTAATCTGAGCAGTTAGAACAAGTGCATCTTTAAATGTTGGTGCTACAGCACCCAAGCAACATCAGATCAAGAAAACACAGTGGGCTGTCAGCTTGTCACCAACAGCTTCATGTCAGAATTGTAGCAAATTAATCCAAGATGCTTCAAAGGATAAAACTAAGAGGTGGTACTTTTATGCTTCCCTGAAGTATCAGTCTAAGCCTTCATATGGCAGAACCCCAGGTAGTGCCACTGGATGCAAGCTCAGTGTCACCAGCACATCAGCTGGATTGTAAAGAACATGTTTGAGCACCACCACCCTCATGTTGATGCTCTGCCCTCCCAGGGCTCACCACCTCAGAACCCCACAATCCTTTAGAAGAACAACCTCAGCTTCAACACTCTGATGACAGCTCTGCTGTGGATGAGGAAGCTGAGGCAGAGAGAGGAGGGTTTGCAAACATTCCAGTGCACTGCAAAGCAGACCCAAACCAACACGTGCAAACAAGTTATCACTCTGATAGGGGCAGAGCAGCCACAGTGGTCAGGAGATCAGCTTCTTGGGCTTACTTAGCCTTGAGAGTACTGCACTAAGACCACTTGTATTATCTGAAGCTCTTTTAAACCCAGATCTTGCACCTCCAGTTACACTGCAGGTTAGACATAACAAAAAAAGCAATTTGCTCCAGTTGTTACCCATATTTGTGTCAAGCTGAGAACAAAACCAGGACTGCTTGACCCTAGTAGCTTAGTCTGACCAAAATACTGTCTCTGATTCAACCTGAATTACCACATCATTTGTGGAAAAACTCAGAAATCTTGGCATCTTATCTGTTCAGAAAAAAACCCAAGGCATAACACATGCATAAAACTCTGCAAACATGTTCTAAAGGGCCCAAATTCTTTCCAGTCATCCTGAAACAATCCTGCTGGTCCTACAAGACAGCAAAAGTATGAGAGTAGGTTTTAAGGGCTTCTTAAAACAGAAGGAGTCCTTAGAGACTGAGTTATGTCCAGGATAACCCATTTTGGAGCTGCAATTTCAGAGCTAATCCAAACATCTAAGGAAAAACATGCTTGGAGAAGCCAACAATGAGATAGGAGTCCCCTTCTAAACATGATGAATTACACCTGGATCCCTCAGTGGTCCCAGTGAATCCCAACAGGAACACTCAGGACCCACTGCTTGGCACAGGAATGGCTGTCAATCTTGTCCTGAATTTATGTTTTTTTTACCTCTGTGCTCTCTCCTCTATTCTCCCAAGCCATTTCACACCCTGCCATGTTCCTTCTCCTGGAATCAGCTCTACTGAAGCTATAAAGCTGAACAGATACCTTGTTTCTGACTCTCAGCTATGCCTGAATTCACCACTTAATCCTACCTGGCCTCTCTCAGCTCTCAGTTATACCCTAAATGCTCATTTCTGGCCTTTTGCAACTCAAAGTGAAAGCAATTAACTATGGGAGATACTTCCCTCTGCTTTACTACAAGGATGGAACACATCAGAGGAGCCTGAAGAACCACGCTCCCAACACTTTGCTAAGCTAAAGTGCAAAGTTTAACCTATTTTTATTAAGATACTACTCTTCTAGTTTCACTATTTGCTCTTGCAGACCTGTGGGTTGTCCTGCATTTCCAAATGCACCACCAGGTAAGACAGGAAGATACAAAAAGGGTGTAAGGGGATATTTAGAGAACTGTGCTGCACCTTCTCAGTGGAGATGGCCCAGGACAGAATGGAGATGTGCTGCTGGTGTCATGACAGGACATGCTGTGACAGCAGCTTCTGTCCCATTGCTAAAGGCAAAGGATTTCACTCTCCACCACCACCTGCTAGGTAAGATGACTAAAGCATCTTAGCCAATAGACAAAGGACATTTTTTCCCCCCCTGCTGGGAGGAATATGCAAAGAGAGCTTCAATTTTTGAATAACAATTATGTTTTGATAATTCTTTTTCAAAGCTTCCCATGAATTCTTAGAGGAAAAATGATTGACATGAGTCATGGTGTCATTGTATGAAACAGAAAACGTGTATTGGCAGAATATGAAGCATTTGCCATTAAATCCCACTAGAGAGAGACATGCTGATCTGTGTAATACAAACCAGTTATAAAGAGCAGGCAATTTTCTGTCCAAAATTGAGGAAGTTTGTAATGCCTTGTTACATTGCCAGCTGCAAACCTCTGCCTATCTGTCCACACAAGAGCTCTGCAGGAACAGCAGGTCATTAAATAGGGGTTAGGAGGAGTTAATGATACATCTGATGTAAAGAACAGCATTTCTGCAGACTTCCCCTGCTCTGTTCTCACCAGCTCCTGGACAAAGAGCCATTCACTACCCAGCCTTGTATGAATGCTTTGCATACAAAAAGAGACATGGGAAACAAAAGGATCCTGTAGCCCACAGAACTTTTCAGCCTTGTTTGGCTTTTGGGAAGTTATAGACTCCACTCAAAGGGACTGACTAAGCAAATGAGACCAGACTGTAATGGGTAGTACTGAAGATTTAAATAGTGAAAAATTGAGTAGAAACTGCACCCCTGCAGTTTAAGAAGGGAAGAATGGAGAGGAAAACACTCTTTGAATTATTCAGAATTAAAAAGGAAAGGTGGCTCTCTGCAAAAGCCCCAAACACATCCCTAAAAAAGGCTTCTAAGAATCAAAACAAGTGACTGGAAGTACAGAGAGCAAGAATTGTAAGGTGCTTTGAATTACACACGTCATGGAAATGAAGCTGCTTCTTTAGTGGAGTAAACAAACCACCTGGTACACAGGAGGACACCAGAGGCAAGAAGAGATGCTACAGCAACACCAGTGAGCCAGATGCTAGATAAAGCTGCTGTCTGTCCTCAGGGCAGTCAGCTACAAAGGACCCATTCCTTCCCTGCCCTTCTTTTCTTCTCCATTGACCTGCTCTTGAGCCATCCTTCAGAAGAAAGAAGGAACTGGAAAATGGAAAACTAACTTGGTATTTGCTGTCATTACTCAGCTCCAGCTCTCCCCTCAAACTTCATCCATTCCCTCCACCCCAAATGCCTTGAGACAGGGACCAGTTGCTGCTTTCTGTGTGACTGTGCTAAGCACAGCCTGGCCCTGCTTGTTAAGTGCTGTTGTGAGGAACAAGATGACCATGACAAAATGAAACACATGAGAGGAACCCATCTGGACAGCTAAACACCTCTGGCTTCCCTGGCACTTGTCAGCAGTTCATTCCACAGCACATCCAGGGACACTGAGGTGACCAAAGGGATCTCTGCAGAGCATCCCCACACCCAGGGGGAACTGGTCTCCTTTGCCTCTCTCCAAGAACTTCTATCCAGAGTTTTTACATGAAAAAGGCTTTTTTTAAATTTTATTTATTTATTTATTTTAAATCTCCCTACCCACTTCTACCAAACAAAGAGAAAATATCAGTCCATAACAGCATGGAAGACTTGGCAGGTTTTCCAAGCTGTCTTCTGCATGGAGGTGCCAAACTTCCATGAATGGCAAAGGGATGGGGATGTCCAATTACTCCTCAATAGCTATGAAAATACTGGTCACCCCCCTCACTTTTCAACATACCAGCTTATGCCCAAGATTTTGTTTGGTTTGACTTCTACTCCATGTCAATAAAAAAAAACCTTTAGAGCCTGAACTTAGTAAAAAGAATGAAAAGGCTCAAACTTACTAACAAGCAAAACCTTAATGTGAAGTCTGGAAGGAAAAAAGGGGGAAAAAACAAACAAACAAAAAACAACAACCCATCACAATGAATTCATTTACAATCTCCAAGAAGTGTTAGAAGTTACTGCCATCACCAATAACCCCTCCCTGACTTTTCTAAAGACAGAAGTTACCAAAGGGGGGCAATTTAAAGTCCCTGACAATGAGTGGCACAGCACTACAGAACCAGTGACCAGGCTGAACCAGGGGGAACTGCACTGGCCTTGAAACACTCTGAATTATACATTAACAATTTCAATCTCTTCATATGTCTTGTTCAACGTTGTGTGTGACTCCACTGGACAGGTCAGAGCACAGAAATGTCCCTCTCTGCCCCGTTGGTTTGTAGGTTGCTGGGATGACAACACCTGCGGGGGCTGTGGGAGTCAAACCCACCATGATTCCTCCTGTGACATAACCCAAGCCACGAGTGCTTGGCTGTGGGAGGGTTTCCTCCTCCTCTCCAACATCACGTGAAGAGGAGTAATGGCAACATGAATGTCCCTTCAGTTTGTGCCCTACACTGAGGGAGACAAAACTACCTGCTCCCTGCAGG